ACCAGCCTTGTCTTCAGGCTCTAGAACCCGAGGGCCGAGACGTGTTCCTTCCTCAGCCGCAGTCATAAGATCAAGAAGTCAGCAGTGCGCTCAACGCAACATTTACACATTTTACTCCCCGACCAAGCTCGACCAATGAGTTGGCACGCCCCGCACACAACCGAATGACATAGTTAGCTTATTAATTAATCGGTCTGCGCGCCACATATATTTGGTAGTTTTTAGGTCAACAACAACACAGTTGGGGTAACGTGGAGCGTATGTGGCCATTTGGCTTCACACATGAGACAACCTACTCTGATACTAAATATATATATATATATATATAAATTCGTCTTTGGTAGTAGTGGTGGAATGAGGATCCTATTTGTGAGGATTCCAGGGATCCTCAAATCACATCCATCCATCGTACATCGTGCGGTTAAAAATTATTGTAAATTTTTTTATTTAAAATTGAATATAAACAGTATCTGACGAAAACTAACCTCACGATATACGATGAACGGATGTGATTGTAGGATCCCAGAGATCCTCACAAAGAGGATCCGGCGAGGATCCTTTCTTGTAGTGGTGACAAACAACAATAGAGGTGGTTGTATTGGTGGGATTTAGGTGGTGACAACAACGAAGTAATGGTGGCCCTTGCCCTATACTTTGTTGTTGTTGTTGTTGTTGTTTTTTTTTATTTTGAACAGAAAAAAAAAAACCAAAAAAAAAAAAAATGAAGTACATGGCAATGACGACATAATGGTGGTGGCAAATAATGGTTGTGTTAACAATGGTTTTGAAAATGGTGGTTGAGAGGTGGTGGGAATGATGGTGGCAGAGAATGTGGAGGTGATGGTAATGGGTTGAAGAATGTGATGATGGTGGTGAGAGGTGGTGGTGATAATAATTGTAGTGGTGGTGGCCCCAACGGTGAAACGGTAGAGGTAGTTATAGCATAGTGACATATATGATTTTTTTGTTAAAACTCAAACTTTTTTCATAGTGTACCTTTTATTTTTTATTATTTTAGAAACTATTTTTGAAAAACAAAGAAAACATTAATTTCATGTTTTATAGAATTTGGCTAAACATTATTTTATGAGTTTTTTGTTTTTTAAGTTTATTTTCACAAAATAGTTTGTCAACGCATTTTCACCGTTTTTGTATTTGCAAAATGAAACCTTATTTTGCAGAACGTTAACGAACATTGATGGTGAGACACGATTCGTACCCACTATACAAACCGGGTTCTTGTGTGACAGCCCGTCCCGAAAATATCAAAAACGTACGTGTGAAAAGACTACTTTGCCCTTAGTTTGTTTTCGTTACGTTTATTGGTTGTTTTGTGTTGTGTTGGCATGTGTTGGGCCACACACTCACACTCTCACTCTCCCTAACCCTCTGTCCCTTTCCCCTGTGACTGTCCCGAGCCCCATTCCTTCCCTTTTTCTTCGAAAACGTACGGACACACACACAAGCACACTAAATCTCCACAGATCGAAGGAACTGAGTACACATTCGAGCTCGTGAGGCTCGTGGGAGTCCAGCCGTACCATTTTCAGGTGAGAACTCCATCGTTTTCACGTCGATTCGACGATGTCCGATTTGGGTACTATTCATGCACACGTGATTTCTCACGTTTAAGGGAAAATGAAGCTTGTAGGTAGCTTGGTGAGGTCCCAAGGAGACTCGGAGTACTTCGTTTGAAGGAATTGGACGTCGGGATCGTTGGGTTCGAAGTTGGCCGGAGTTGGATCGATTTTGCAGGTGAGATTCTTTGGTTTTTAACCCTTAAAAGTTGTATGGTTGTGTTCCCCTAGTCCTAGGCTTCATTTTGGTGCAAAAATTATGAAATTTGGATGAAAAACGAACGAGATATCGAAGTTTAAAGTTTTCGAAATTTTCCGGCGCCGGCGACGGTGTCGGAGGTTCGCCGGGGAAGGAGACGGAATATTCCGTCAAGTCTGACGGAATATTCCTGACGCCGTTGACGGAATCTGTCAAAACTGACGGAATATTCCCTACGGCGTCAGTTGACGCCGTCAGCGTGCCAGGCACGTGCCTGCGCATGGCCGGCGCGTAGGGGCGCGTGCGGCGGTGAAAAATTATTCTAAAAATTTGGGTGTGATCCTGAGGTTGTGTAGAGCACGTTGGTATATTCATTTGTCCAATTTGAGCAATGTATGAGAAGTTATTACGAGAAGTTGGTTATGTACTTTAAAATTAACGTTTTTATAGTTGTTTCGCATATAGGTGATACGTATCCTGAGGACGAGCGTGGTCACTCGAGGCAGGGGGGCTACGACCCTTGCACATACCAGTGAGTGGGCTTTTGGTTTTCCGTATATACCTATATACATTTATTTTCCCAGAAATTAATTGAAAGGGTTATTTGTTTTATGCCATGCATTTTATTATCGTTGTTTATGCACCATTAGTTGCATTACTAGTTGCATACCTATACATATGCATATTGGGTGCTGTGGACGCACAGGTAAGTGCCAGGTAAGTGTTATTCATGTTTATATTCAGTAGTGGTTGAGATGCTTAGAGAGCTTATAACCTGCACCCCCGGTGTTAGTGCTCCCGCCCAGAGTAGGGCACAGTCCTTCACGTGATGTTCACCTCCCGCACCACACGCTCAGCTTGGATCCAAGTTAGGTGCACAGTCTTGTTGTATAGACCACATTAGGTGGTTCCGACTCGTAGGTGACCCGCGATTATTCGCACAGCCTTCACGTGATCGTAGCATTAGAGCGTTTATATGTTTTACACCTAGGCCTGTCGTACAGACCACTTTAGGTGGTTCCGACTCGTGGGCAGGTTTAGTATTGATATTGAGATTTGAGCTCTAGATTCAGCCGTACAGGTCACGTTAGGTGACTCCGGCTGCCAGATTGTATGTTATTGATATGACTTATACCTGAGCACTTGCATTTCATTATAAGGTTCCGACATAGCATATTCTTGAGCATGTTTGGCATATCTATATACATACGTATATATTTTTATTTTCTGGGAAGTATACAGGTTTTACGGCGAGGGGTTAGAATGTATTTACTAAATGGTTTTCAAAAAGCTTTGTTTTTGCCCACTCATGCTTTTGTTTTGCGCCCCTCCAGGTTCTAGTTGTCTAGCAGGTTCGGTGGTTTCCCAGAGGGCTTTCCCGGCATTTCTGACAGACGCTCACCAGTGTAGGGTCACCTTCGGGTGTACTGTTGTCGCATCATTTTTCTTTTGGACTGCTGTAGACTTATTGCTCTGCACTTGTGTCTCACTTACGCTAGCACTTGTTTTATTACTTTGTATGCTAGTTTTTAATTATTCGTACTATTTATATTACTATTTTTTTAGCTTCCGCACCGTGCACATGGTTACGTCACCTCCGCGTGGCGGCCAGCACGCCCTGATCTCGGTCGGGGTGTGTCATCTTGTCATTGATGAACAATTCACTTGTATTCTCAATGGTACGTCTGATAAGGATTATCAGAAATTCAATTGTTTTCTTGACAAAACCTTTTTATTTTATATTTTGGGTCATAATGAAGACTTGTTAATATGAAATGAGCAATAAACGCAGAGGGAGGGAAAGAAGGGGAAGTACAGTTTTACTCCTTACCTAACGGATAGTTAATGGAAAGATTATTTTTGGATTAAATTTGTTAACGGACTTCACTATAAGGGTATAAATTTTATTTTTTTTTTTACCAGGGGACTATCTTCCAATTATCTTATCATCACAATGACCATTTATCTGATTAAGCCTAAAAGAAAAGGTGAACAAGAGCTTAAAAATAACAAGGGAATTAATGCATGATAATTTACAAATTCTGACTTTTATCCAAATTCTAAGTTTATTTCTCTCATCCAAATATAGTGTAACAGTCTATTTAGATATGGTAAAAGCACACAAAATTTTAATTAATTTTGGAAATTTAGGATGGGAAAGCAATTTTCCCTTGTTTGAGTACTTGCCGCGAGAGAAAAGGAAAATTTGAAGGGGAAAAAACGTGGAAACCGGGGATGAAGCTTTCCAAGTTCAATTTCCGTCTAAAATGGTGTAATTTCCCAATTACAACTATGACGAGAGTCGCAAATTCATGTGGAGGAAATCTTGGGCGTACCAATTTTCACGAATTGGGATGATTGGGTGCCAAATTCCAAATAACAGAATTTTAATTATTGTAAATTGTAACCCCCGTCATTTAAAATTGTAAATTTGGACAAAAATGCCCCAATAAGGTAGGGGTATTTTCGTCATTGTAACAATGTATTTTTTAATAATTAATTTTTTGTTTTTTTTTTTTTTAATTAGTACCTCTCAGTAGGCTAGCAGTAATGTGATTCAACCATTATGAGGCTAAGCCCACCCCCATCCTCCTTAGTGTAGATAATATCGTTTGTTAGAAAAAAAACAATCATTTGACAACTAATTTAATCACATTATTATCCGCATGCGAAAGAATTTTTTTATAACCAGCATTACACGCCTTTAAAGATGTTTTGAACGTGTTTAAAAATAGAGAAAATAATATTTTATAAATAGCTAATTGAATCACATTATTGCTAGTCCATTGTAAGGCTATGCCCACTCCCTCCTCTTCAGTGTAAATAATATCGTTTGTTAAAAAAACATTATTTGACAACTAATTTAATCACATAATCCACGTGTGAATGACATTTTTTATAATCGGTATTACACGTTTCTTAAGATGTTTTGAATGTGTTTAAAAATAGAAAAATTAAATCACATTATTGCTAGACTATTGTGAGGAACTAATTAAAAAAAAACCACAAAAAATTAATTATTTAAAAAATAATGTTAAAATGACGAAAATGCCCCTACTTTATTTGATGTATTTTCTTGGGATGCCTTTGAAGTTTTCTTGTCTTGAGAGCATTTTTGTCCAAATGATTTTGTTGAAGCTTGATGACACCAAAATCACTATTCACCTTTCCATTTGCTTTTCCATTGGCTTTATATATATATTTAAAAATTCATCATCATAGTGTAAAGGTTTAACTAGTTCAGTTGTAAATATCAATCAACGATATCATGTAGTTGTTCATTAGTGACATCCGAAAACTCACGCAACATATACCTAGTTCATCACGCAAGCCACACTCACAAGGAGAAATATTCTGCAAAAAAATTGCCTTCTAAAACAAAACGTCTACGTTGAATTTCCAGTTCAGGTATCAATTCTTTTTCCATCACTTCTTTATACAAGCCCCGTAGCTTCAATGGTTCTCTCCTATGTGCCGCCACGACCACTGATCTTCATCCATTCCAAAGTTTACCACAACTAACAATATTGCGTGGTCACTAGAAGTTAGAAACCAATGATAACTAAAGGCTCTTCATCCTTATAAATCTTCAAAACCTTGCAAAGAGACCTAACAACTACCCTGCGAATCCAATATGGCCCTTACGACGAAAACGCCCCACAGTTTGTTGCATTTCCATATCAGGCATCAATCCTATTTGGACCATTTCTTTAACAAGCCTCAAAGCTTCACCTATCCTGTTAACGCTTATATAGCCGTTGACCAAGGTTTTATAGGAAGCAATATCAGGCGCATAACCCATAGCCACCGTTAAGTTCAAGACCACTTTCGCCTTATTCATTCTGCCAAGCAAACAATATTCATTTACCACCATACTGCAAGTTATTGTACTGAGTTTCATACCGTATTCAATTGTTGCCTCAACTCTTTTGTGAATCTCTTCTGTCATCCCTCCTCTGCAGAGAGCATCCAGAAGTATTAACAAAGTACCGGTATTAGGAAAGATTCCCCGGCCTACCAGTTCATCAAACAACCTTGTGGCTTCTTCCCATTGAGCTGTATGGCACATGCCATGGATTAAACTGTTATAAGTGATAACATCAGGTGTCAGACCTCTTTGAGTCATTAACTCTAACATACTGAGGGCTTCCTCGGTCCTCCCCTCCTTGCAAAGAGAACTTATCATAATATTATAGGTTATAACACTTGGGGCAATACCTTCATCCAGCATTCTATTAAACAACTTTGTGGCTTCTCTCCACTGGCTGGTCCGGCACAATGTATTAATTAAGGAGTTGTAAGTCACAACATTAGGCTTTTCCCCCCTACTGATCATTTCTTCCACAAGATTCAGTGCTTCTGCTGTCTTCCCTTCCTTGCATAAAGCATCCAGAACAGCACTGTATGTAACTATATTAGGCAAGGCTCCGTAACCAATCATGATTTTGAATAATCTCACACCTTCCTCCCAGTTACTAGACTTGCATGATGCAGAAATCAAGGAAGTAAAAGTGACAACATCAGGCTTTATGCCTTTCGTCGTCATATTTTCCAACAGAGTAAGCGCTTCTTGAATTCTTTCTTCCTTGCAAAGACTGCTGATAAGAATACTATGTGTATACATTTGGTGAAATTCCACTGTTAAGCATGCAAATCAAGAAGCTCTTGGCTTTTTCCAACCTCCCCGATTGGCACAGTCCATAAATTAGAGTGTTGTAGGTGACAACATTAGGCTTGACTCCTTGATCTACCATTCCTTCAAAAAGAGAGAGCACTTCTTCCCATCGGCTCGTGTTGCATAACCCATGAATCAATGTGGTATAATTGAAAACGTTCGGTACAACACTTTTGCTGATCATATCTCGAAATACGGTCAAGGCCTCGTCTATCCGTCTTTCTTTACAGAGGCTATTAATGATTGGATTGTAGCATTCTTGGTTGGGCTTGAACCTTCCATCTTCCCACATCTTCGTAAGTATCTCGAGCGCCTTAGAAGTTTTCCCAGCTTTGCATAGTCCATTGATCATGGTACCATAAGTGATTTGATCGCATTTGTATCCTTTCATTTCTATTTCCTGGAAGAACTCCATAGCCTCGGCCAGGGAACTGTACTTGCAAAGTCCATGGAGCAAAGTATTCATAGTACGAGCATCGGGTTTAAGACCATATTTAAGGGTAATTGCTAAAACAGAGAAACTCAAATCCACCCGATTCAGACAGCACATGCAATTCATAAGAATACCCAATGTACCCACCTCAGGTCGAAATTGAGCGCAACCCATCAACTGTTTACACATAGAAACGACAGCTGAATATTGCTTCATCTTGGAGAGTGCCCCAAACAAAAAATTGAAAGTCCAAATCGAGGGCAAGGGTTTGGTTTGAATCATGGAATAAAAGTAACCCAATGCTTCATCCTTCCTAATTTTTCCAGATTTGCATCGAGTTTGAATCGTACTCTCCGGCATCAAATGGGTTTGTTTAATTCTATCCGTACAAGTAGGATTAGCATGAACAACATTGGAATGAAATCCACTACTTGTATTCTGCAGAACGGAAAAAATGAAAGAAGGAAAATTACCTGGAGAAGGAGGTCTTGTGGTTATCGTCTTGATCTTCATTTGAAAGCTCTCTCCTGTTTTTCTTGGGGTTCGAGGACGATTTTGGTTTAAAGGCAAGGATTTGGCTCCATTTGTGAGCTCTCTACTGTTTTTCTTCTGTGTTTTCGGTTCTTAGAATTCTTGGTGATTTTCGCTTAGAGCAGCTCCACCGGAGCAAAGATTGCCCAGCACCCAGTCCAAATAACAGCCCGGCATGCTCCATATGTGCTCCAGCCCGCAACCTTGCCTGGCACCCAGCCCGTGCCAGTCAAGAGCCCAGCCCAAAATGGACAGACCCATTCTCCCGGTCTGTTTCTGGCGCGTGCACAACACGCGGGGGGCGCGGCGAGTAGCCGACAGCTTTGCAGGCGCTGGGGCCCGCATGCAGACCCACTTGCAGGCGTCCGGGTGAAGGAAACGTGGCCTCCTCAGAGCCGTTGGATTTCCAACGGCTAGTTTTTTAGGCCGTTGGATTTCCAACAGTAAAAAAAATTTAAATTTAAATTTTAAATTGGACCGTCCGATCACAGATCAACGATCCACGTTTATTTCACCAAAAATATATAAAAAAAAAAAAAAGGCCCAACGGTCAGAAATTTGACCGTTGGCCACGTGGCGTAATGAGTGCTGTTGGATTTGATTATTTTTCAAATCCAACGGTCCCGATTAATTACAACATTAAAATTAATTAAAAATTAATTAAAAAATGTCAAAAATTTTTGAAAAAATACAGAAAAATTTTAAAAAATTAATTTTTTTTTTCTATAAATACCTAACACTCATCTTCCACCTTACACCACATTTCAATATTTTCTACACTTTCTACACTTTCTACATTTGAATATTTTGTACACTTTGAGAGAAAAAAATGACTTCGTGGAAGCTCAGTGAAGATGTTACGTTGTGTGAATGTTGGGTTCGCACTACTCATGACCCGATTACGGGTAATGAGATGGATAAGCGAGAAATGTGGAGTAAAATTACGAAATCGTTCAACGATGTACATGGAAAGATGTACATGGAAAGATGCCAGATCTAGTCAAGGTCTTCAAGGTCGTTGGAAAAAACTCAACGCATCCTTTACTTGTTGGAAAAACGCCCTCTCTCATGCTTCTGGTAATTTGCGTAGTGGGACAAGTTTAGCGGATGAGGTAACAATATTTTTATTTATTTATATGCATTCCACCCACATCAATATTTTAATTTATTTAATTTCTTATATGTAATTTTTATGTAATATGCATTCCAAATACTTATGTAATTTTTATGTAAGTTTTATATAATTTTTATGCATTTGACAATTCTTATTTAATTTCTTATGTAATTTTTATGTAATATGCATTCCAAATACTTATGTAATTTTTATGTAATTTTTATATAATTTTTATGCATTCCACAATTCTTATGTAATTTTTATGTAATTTTTATAGACACTACAAGCACAAGCATTCTACAATGCAAAGAACCATAACAAATCATTCAACAAATGGGAATGTTGGCAAATTGTCAAAGATTGCCCTAGATACAAAATTGTGGCAACCGGTCCAGAAGTTGTCATGCACGGTATGGGTCTACACAGTTCGCCAGAAGCAGACACAGCCGAACAAGAAGCCAACACATTTGAAGACACGGAAGGGATGCCTGAACAAGTGCCAGAGACCCAACCGACTCGTCAGTCCCTCAGGCCTCAAGGTAAAAAGGCATCAAAGAAAAAAGGTAGTTCTTCCAAAAATGACTACACTAAATATATGGAGGAACTTACTCGTCAAGGTGAAATGAACATGGCATGGGAAAAGGCTAGAGATGAGGAAAAAGCTGCTGCTGTGGCAGCAATTATTGCAGCTACTGAGGCTCGTGATGCGGCGTCTGAGAGACAAAGAGAAATAGTTAATCGAGAGAACGAGATGATTAGAGAAGCACTTCATCGAGAGAATGAGATGCTTAGAGAAGAAAGGATGGCTCAAACAGATCGTGACACTATGAACAAGTCTCTAGTAGGACTGTCTCCGAATTCAAAATATTTTTGGACATCAGAAAAAAGAGATGTCGTGCGAAGGAGGCGTGCAAGAGATGCCGAAACAAGTCAAGGGGGTTCCAGCTACAGAAATCCTAGCAACCAAGATCCTAGCACCACATATCCTAACTCCACAGACTTTATTTAATTTCTTATGTAATTTCTTATTTATTTTTAGAACTTTATTTAATTTCTTATGTAATTTCTTATTTATTTTTAGAACTTTATTTAATTTCTTATGTAATTTCTTATTTATTTTTAGAACTTTATTTAGTTTCTTATGTAATTTCTTATTTATTTTTAGAACTTTATATAGTTTCTTATGTAATTTCTTATTTATTTTTAGAACTTTATTTAATTTCTTATGTAATTTCTTATTTACTTTTAGAACTTTATTTAATTTAAAATTAAAATTACATAACCTCACCATTGAAACTTAAAAAAAAAACCATTTAAACTTAAAACACCAAATAAAATTACATAAAACACCATTTAAACTTAAAACACCATTTAAACTTAAAATTACATAACCTCACCATTTAAACTTAAAAAAAAAAAAACCAAACACACTAAATAAGATTACTTAAAAAACAATACACTTTATTCTTCAACCACAAGCCTTATTTTAATTATCTTCGCCTTCGTGCAAGCTCCATTGATGCTCAATCAAGTCATTCTGGCGGGCTATGTGCCAGTATGGCTCTTGCAATGAAGTGTATCGTTGAACGATCAATTCATTGTAACGTCCATCCCGTTTTAACGACTCGTGTTGCACGGGATCTTCGGTCCGGTCATGAGCATAGTAGATTTGTGTTCTTGAGTTGTTCATCGGATCCGGCTCGTATTCATCGACGGCATCATAATCATACTCGTCTTCAACAATCATGTTGTGGAGAATAATACACGTCATCATGATGGATCGAAGAGCCTCGACATCAAACATTCTAGCTGCAGCCCTGACAATGGCCCAACGAGCTTGCAGGATACCAAAACAACGCTCGACATCCTTCCTACACCCTTCTTGACACTTTGCGAAGTGTTTCTCTTTTTCACTCTGCGGGTGTGGCACTGTTTTGACAAATGTTGACCACCTTGGGTAAATACCATCTGCAAGGTAGTATGGTCCCTCGTATTTAGTACCATTAACCCAATATGTGCATCTCGGCCCACGCCCTTGTAGCAGTTCATCAAACACTGGAGATTGGGCAAGGATATTTAGGTCATTCTGAGCTCCTGGAACACCAAAAAAAGCATGCCAAATCCATGTATCAAAAGAAGCCACCGCTTCCAGAATGATGCTTTTGGCTCCTTTTCTGTCGCCATAAGCTCCTTGCCACGCACTTGGACAGTTTTTCCATGTCCAGTGCATGCAGTCGATGCTTCCAATCATGCCAGGGAAGCCTCGCATCTCAGCCTTCCTAAGAAGCCTTCGCATGTCCCTTGGCGTGGGTTGCCGAAGGTACTCATTGGTGTAGAGGGCTTCAATTGCAGAGCAAAACCGCATCAGGGACTCCAGAACTGTTGTTTTTCCCATCCTTGCGATCTCATCCACTTGATCTGCGGATGCTCCATATGCAAGCATTCGCAAGGCAGCCGTAATTTTTTGCTCAGGAAGAAGACCTAGAACATGAAAAGCATCCTCTTTTTGCACAAAATATGGATCATGGTTGCAAACATCACTCATGATTTTAGCGAACAAACTTCGTTGCATTCTAAAACGACGTCTAAAAACATGATCAGGGTAAACGCTGTTGGGAATAAAATAATCTTCCAAGAGATCTTTACCTCGTCTTTCCCTTCTTCTATCGATGTTTGCCGCACGTCCGGGTTTGGCTATCTGACCCATAGCTTGCATGATACGGCGGGAATGTGAGGCCCTCCGCCTTCTATGGTGATCATCGTCATCCTCCTCCATTGCGAAGGCCTCATCTCCACCTCCACCTTGGTCAAGATTGACCAATTCTTCCTGTTGTGCCAACAACCTTTTCTGCTGCTCTTGCAACTGTTTATACGCTCTCCTTGAAGAAGACATTGTAAGAACTCAAGATTTGAAAATGATAAAGAAGAATTCTGAGCTAAAAAAAAGGATTGAGTTTAGTGTGAGGATGGATGTAGGGATGTAGGGTTTATATGGACAAAAAAAAAGAAGATGAGGTTCTGGACAATGCCACGTGGCACTACGTGATTGGTTGAAAATCTTAGCGGAAATCTATTCAAAAAATAGTACGTTCGGATAATGACACGTGGCGTGACGAGATTGATTAAAAATCTTATCGAAATCTTGCCTAAATTATTGTAAACAGGAAGTGACATGTGGGTTGTCGGGATTGGTTGAAAATCTTAGCGGAAATCTATTCAAAAAATAGTACGTTCGGATAATGACACGTGGCGTGACGAGATTGGTTAAAAATCCTATCCGAAATTAAAACTATTTTTTTTAATTATTTTATAAAAAAATTATTTAATATTTTAAATGGACTGGGCGCCAGCGCATTTTGTAGGGGTGGAGATCGTTTGTGCCAGCTTATTTTTAGACTAGGTGCCAGCACATTTTTTTTTTGGGTGGAGATGCTTTGGCCTATTACTGTTCATTGAGTCTGTTACTGTTCAATTAAGTGGATAAATGGGCTGGGTGCTGGCGCAAAGTGGATAGGGGTGGAGTTGCTCTTACGGAAAACTATTCTGCATGGCTAAGGCTAGGAGAGAAACCTACACTATAACTATGTACTTTAATTATTTTGATTTTATTTTGGATTTTCGCCGTCAATTTTACATTGTGGATGTTCAATTGAATTTCTTATTTAATCTAATTTCAGATTGATGAATATTAATTATAATTCATAGGATCAACCATGTGTTTTTTGTTTTTTATGGTTTTGCTTCAACATTCATGCTTTTAGTGAAATGTATAAATTGGTTGATTAGTATGATTTTGATGGCATAGTTTTTTGTTTTTTATTTATTTTTATTTTATATATATATTTTTGTTGTCGTAGGTATAAACTATTCTTAGGATTTTGAGTAAATTATAGTAATGATCTCTTAACTTTAACTCAATCGGTCCCTCAACTAAAAATCCATTACCATTGGTCGCTCAACTCATCAACTTTAATCCAAATGGAGAAATGGTCCCTCAACCTGAACTCAATTGTAGCACTGGTCCTTCCAACATAACTCATTTTGACAAAATTATGGTGAAGTTGACGAAAATGATCATAGCTACACGTTTTGATGAGTTGAGGGACCCCA